CAATCAGCCAGACGGTGGTGCTTCTGGCACGGCCTTCTCTTATCTGGGCATCCGGAAAACCGGAAACGTCGGAGTTTTCTCAGCTTGGGCAACCCTGCTGGAGGACAAACGTTCGTTGTACTTCGCAGTTCACCCAGAGTCACCCCACGATGAGGCGGAAGACCATTACGGGGGTGCTGACCACTATAGACAAGGATAAACCTGGCGATCCAAACATTGCTGCCGCTGAGATGAATCCGACTCAAAAAGTTGGATGAAAGGTATCGTTTTTCGACGTAAGCAACATTTTCCAACTCTCTCTCTGTCTTAGGATAGGCTAGCGCTATCTTCCTCTACCTGTTGTTTCTTCGTAATATGCTTGCTGGATTATGAAGACCATATAGGTGGAAGCTATTTTTCAACTCAATGAATCGTATTAGTTGTCAAGAAACATTTCTTATTCTATGAATTTATGCACAAAGTAGAATTTAGCTATCGCTTGCTTATGAATCTAGTTGCGTAACTTTATGGCTCAGAGCAACTCTCTCATTGAGGGTCGGAAAGCGATTACTTTGTTATACTTGGACTACTTATACTCTGCCCTGTCGCATATACTGTGCGTCGTCATCTTAGAAAAATTTGCGGTTTGGACTGTTTCATTCTTCACCTCTCCTTCAGAGAGGTTCGCAATGTCTTTGTATGAAAGAATCAAACTTCTTGAGTTTCACCACAAAAACAAAAACGTTTTTTTAACTTGATTTTAAACCATCGTACGCGCTTTTCTGTGAAAAGATTGGAAGCTTGATGTCGTCTTTCTTCATCTCAAAGAAAAACACGGCCACTCTATCTCCCCCATCCCCCGCTGTGGCCCATAGCTACACATCCAACTTACCACGTTTCTACAAAAAAATTGCTCTTGTTTACATAGTGTTCTGCCGTCAACATGATAACGATTGGTAACTGGTTTTTGAATCTCTTAGACAAATGAACCAGTTCCGTGACAGAGAAACATCCTACGTACCGACAAACTAACAAAATACGCGCTTATATATATATATATATATATATATATATATATATATATATATATATATATATATATATATATATATTT